CCAGCCCACCACGACCGTGCATAGTACTTGCACTCCCTACCTTCAGCCTCCTGAGGCTAGAACGCCCATCTTCCGTCCACAGACGGGCATTAGCCCCGCATCGCGCCCCTCCCTGTTCTATCCTCAGCCCCGTCCACGCCCATCTTCCGTCTCATCTCTTCCGTCCACGGACGGACGTTAGCTTTTCATCGCTCGTCCGCGGTGGACTTGAGGGATTCTAACTGCCATCGTGCCAACACTGGACCACGCCCACAGACCAGCGACCGTTCGTAAGAAGCAGTGATGTCAGCACCTGGGCTGCATCACCGCAAGCCTCACCTGGTCAGCTCTGAGCTGCCAGGCAAAGCCCTCACAAACGGTCGCCGGTCCGCGTGCGTTGTCCTTTGTTGGCCAGATGGCCATTGGCATCCCCAAAGTCCAAGTTAATCAAGTCATGTCAAAACCACAAGTCATGTCAAAACCACTGCCCCTGCAGCACCCCAGCCCACCACGACCGTGCATAGTACTTGCACTCCCTACCTTCAGCTTCCTGACAAACGGTCGCCGATCCGCGTGCGTTGTCCTTTGTTGGCCAGATGGCCATTGGAATCCCCAAAGTCCAAATTCATCAAGTCATGTCAAAACCCCTGCCCCTGCAGCACCCCAGCCCACCACGACCGTGCATAGTACTTGCACTCCCTAGCGTCAGCCTCCTAAGGCTAGAACGCCCATCTTCTTTCCACAGACGGGCAACCACCGGAACTACACAAACGCCTTTAGTTACACATGCTACACTCTTCCTCAAAAGGGGTCGGCGGCACCCGGGCGAAGCCCTTACAATTGGTAGTGTTTTTGCATCAAATAGCAAAACATCCTGAAACATCAGAATGGAGAACAGGTACTGATGAGCGTCAAACGGATAGAAGCTATCACTTTACCTATGCCTATACATCTCTTCTTTGTGACTTTGTGGAGGTTTGCTGAGGTCGGGGGGTTTGGCTACCAACAGGCTAGCCATGGATTTGTTCAGCTCCATGCTTGTGAAATACAGGGGGGTCACCAAACCAGTTGTGAGGAAAAGAAGGGCTAAAAAACTGCGGCCATGTTTGAACGAACAAAGTTCTATAGTTGTTGTCTTTTTTTGGGGTGTAGGCCGCTAGTAGAGGTAGGTTAGCTAGGGAGTCGGTAGCTAGTGGCTAGGGAGTCGCAGTAGCTTACTTAAGCTACTAGTAATTATGGACGCAGGATAGCTGCGTAGCTCACGCTCGCACTATCACTATTCATCTGGTTCCTAGATTTTTGGTGAAACTTAACTAATTATATACATTGAACTCAACAGATTTCAGGTTTGGCATGGCTCCATCTCCCGTCCCAGTTCTCCATGACCTTCATGCATAGGGAATTGCAAGGCCAATCATATCCAATCATTTAGGGTGAAATCATCGCATCCGTCTAGGCATTTGGGTAAACAGCTATCTTGAAATCCAGCTCGCTTGCAATGTCAATTTGAGAACTCCAAGCCATTGATCCAGCGCCTGCGATACATCCCTGGCGGGCCGCTTCCTCCAAGCGCTCGTCCGCGCACCTGCCACGCGCGTCGTCCACCCGGTCCGTGATGGCATGCGCAGGGAACGCATGGGTTCATTTAGTGAGTACTGTAACATCTAGGAAGAGCGTGGGGGTATCCTGCACTGACCATGATGTTTGCTGTTGTGTAGGCAACGAGGGTCAAGTCTGTGCCCTGGCTTTGGTATGTACAGTTTGGAGATGCCATGTTTTGCGGCAAAATCTGTGTAAGAAACGTGCGAACCTGATCGTCGCACAAACGGTATCGCGGCGGTTAGAGTTGATTCCACATCGCATCTTGCCACTTATGCGTGGATCACTACAAACGATCGACATGTTCGAAAGTACTGCCACAACATACAATCCACAACCTACCCGTTCGCAACACTTGGGTATTGACCTAGAGTTTCAACTTTCCTGCTTGGAATGGAGCATCCCCCACCACCCTCCCAAATAAAGTGTGGTCATCCAAAAGAGTCCTACTAAAAGTTCCACTTTCTCGACTGTTCCATACATTGCCTATAGTTATAGTTCTGTCTCAGAACCGCCCAGCCACACCACGCACCATGCACCGCACCAGCTCGCAAGCAGCGCGGCGGCAGAGGCATCGCCCGCACCGGTGGGATCGCAGCACCACTCGGCTGGGAGCGCCGGTGGCCGCACCACGCCACGACCACGGAGGCTACACCAACGAGCACCTGGGTAGGGCGGTGAATTCTCCACGCGATTGGTGGGGAGGGGGTGAATTTTAGGTCTATCCGGTCTGTCCGATTTGGAAACACAGAACAAGAATGGCCTCCAAAGCATGAAAACCAATGACCTGTGTCATATGGACTGAAAGCTGTTCCTGCCAGATTCTCGCCCCCGCTCATGCGCGATCTCTGTGGCAACTGCAGCGCCTTCAGCGCCGTTGGTGATGACTGAGGAGATACCACCTGCAGACCATGCAGTCTGCAGAGTCGGGGGGCCGAGATTATGGTATTCTGAATCATTGGGACGAGGGATGATGAAGTTGTTGCCCCGAGGCTCGAGCTATATCAAGATCTTCAACATCCAGGGTAGCTGAATCCAGAGATGCATGGAGAACCTGTGGTTGTGTGAAAGTTATTCAAGAGTTCCATGGAAAGGGGACATGCTTGCGCACACAAAGTCGCCATGTGCAGGTTTTAGGGATGTGCCTCCGATTGCCTCCGAACACACCATTGTTTTGCAGGAAAATTTTCATGGACACGACACATGTTGTTCCAAAAGCGCTTCAAAAGATCCCAGTCAGAAATCCTAGTTGTTTGAAAGGAGAAAGGTTTCAGATCGTTTCAAGGTCTTGTTGTTTTTGTATGTGTTTGTGTTTTCTAGGTGACAATGTTCATTGTTGTAAAATGTGTAAAAGTGTTGTTTCTGGACTTTGGGGGCCTTAGTTGCCCACCTGTTCCCCCTCGCTCATTTGGTATGTCCATTGCCTTCGGCCATGCGTGCCATTGCCCCATCCACGCAGTCACCCAAGACGGCCTCCACCTGCCCGTGGGGAGAAAGCCAACCAAATGGTTTTGGTCCAAGTTCCTTGCATTCAAGCCTGCTAAATGCTCGAGTATTTCACAATTGTTGCATGAGGTGAATTTTTTGAAGCATTGGCCCCTTCATCCCTTGCATCCCTCGCTTCTGAACCAGACCTTGCCTCCTTGACATTGCCCTTGAAGAGGTCAATTGCAGGAAGCAGCTCCTTCACCTGGTGGCACCATCGCTCCCAACTGTGGATTTCTGTCTTACCAAAGCCTTAAAAATTCAAAAATATACTGGCAAAGACCCCAAACAGTGTGTCTGGTGTAGAAGCAGAAGGTCTAGAGATCTAGACATGTATGTTGGGTTCCAGAGAGAGGTGATGGTGGTGATGATGGGTGGCGACGATGGGTGGTGATGACGGTGGTGATGATGGTGGCAATGATGGTGGTGATGGTGGTGGTGGTGATGGTGGCGACGGTGGCAATGGTGATAGTGGTGATGATGGTGGCTGCGGTGGTGGTTCAAGGGCAGCAGTGAT